TTCGCAGTATAGCAAGCAAACCCACTATATTAACACGTTAAGCATATGCTGCTTCAAGCATGGTTGACCTTGCAGATCATTTCGATATGCACATTACTGTGCCCTATCCTCTATGTGGACCACTCAAGACCACACAACACTGCACGGAGTGTAAATGTAAAGCTGAGCCGACCTGGGAATGGGCCATATACCACGTGCATTGACGTCCGCCGTGGCTGGGATTTGTGTTTCCAGAGTAGGAGGAGCTTGAGAAGAAACTGCATAAACAGTCGCAGGGAAAAAAATCGGCTCAGGTAGAGAATCTGCAGAAACAGCAGCAGGCGAAGAAGCTGCGGTGAGGGTCGGTAAATGGAAGAGCTTTGTGAACTTTGGAAATCTGTGGTGCAGCTTCCAGTCACAATACCACTATCATACAATAAGACAGTATATCTGAGAGCAGTTTTAACATATCCAGATTAATTAGAATACAAAGATTCACTTTAATACAAATGTGATACCAAACATTGCCAAGTTTAACATGCCACAATTTTGACTAAATTGGAACAAATTTGTGTGAATATAGAAGTGCTTGCACACTACTACAGTGCTTGTACTGCCTTGTTATATTCTTGAGCAACGTTTACACGAGGAAGGCTTAGAAACTCGTACGACTTGGCGATGGAAACATATGATCGCAATCATAGCACTCATAAAATTGTGTTATTCCAAATCAGCAAAATGCACTTCAGAAAATGTGGCACCGTTTAAAATAACAATGCGGGACCCAATTTATGAACTCGTTTTTGTTTCGTTAAAGTTTTTCAGAAAATCTGCTGACAATTTTGTTTTCTTTCTGGAAAAGTCATTCTGCCAAATTCACTAAGATAATTTGCCACCAGTTTTCCGGAATAAATGGGCATGGTGCTAAAACGAATTTTTTCATGAACTGCTTTTTGTGCTAGGTTCGTTGTCCTTCCACCCACAGCTCCGATTAAGCACAGCTGGCTATGCACGGCGCGAAATAAGTTTTACATACATAGAGTACATCTCCTGTACGTGTCAGTGTCTATTCCACCACGTCGACCCCTCTCTGCGATGTTCGTGGTACAATTGCACGCGCGGTGAATAGCGCACGGGTCGGGGTTGATAGGTGGACGGCACTCCGCTCAGTGAGTGGCCACGCGATTCCTCCCACCTTTTAAATAGCAACTTCAGAAACATCCTACACTTATTTTTGGCTCTTGCCCGAATTTCGATCCAAGGCCTACCCTAAACCTTGCCAAACCGTGATCCATTTCTGGCGCTCCTCCAAAGGTCGGAATCAGAAGCCCCCCTCCCCCAATCCCCATCATGTGAATCTCAAATGTAGACCTGGCCCGAAATTTCAACAAAAACGACTGCAATTCCTCTGTTTTTTTCGGTAAAGTCACGTATAAATAAGAAATAATAAAATAACATAATTGCGTACGACGTTTCGGTTGCAACACAAGCAGCCATCATCAGGTACAGAAGAGCTAAATTTACGAGAGAGAGGAAACACATAACCCCAGATGTATATACAGACACCCAAGTAGGGGGAACTAACACATACAACAGGGGCACAGAGAGAGAATCACACCAAACAAACAGGGTTTAGCAAAATTTGGAAACCATATAAAGCAACACAGACGGTCGGTCAAAACACAATTAACGCATAGTCTGGTTGATTACGCTATTTCAATTCCACCAAAATGTTGCAGGACCGCCAAAACATTGCTTCGAGAATTTGACCCGTGTTTCTTTTGGTTGGCTTCTCCAAATGTGATTGTGACCAACAAGGGTGCGTTTAACCTGAGCATAACCAGTCACAACAACCCTCTGCAGCACACCGCAAATATAAAATCGCACCAACATCCGGGGCGACAGCTGCGTTCTCTTTTTGTTGAGAATGAATACTGGAATAACATTTTTTTATTTGACGACTTGCCTTTGGAAATAAATGCACTATGCACTCCTGTGTGCAATTCAAGTGAAATTCAATGCTGTAGTTTATAGAAACATAACAGGCACTGCATTAAAAATAAGTTGATGTGAGACCCACAAATGTTCCCTTTGCCAAGTATTTACACTTATAATTTGTTCGGAAATCTTTTTCACATTTCATAGGGCTACAGCCGGCAGTATAGCAGCACTGATTATGCTCTGTGCCTTTGGCTGTTTTTGTTTTGGAATTAACAGTTTCATTCCAGCCTCCATAGTGGAAATTTCGAGCTCGCTTTTGTATACCTATGCAAAGTGGCTCCAGTCCACGTAGAATCTCACGAACGTTTGAGTCTTATGGCACACAAGCCAGCTGGTATGTGCAGGTGCATTCATAATTGTATTTCATTAGTGAACAAAGACCCACTATTATGAGTAACATGAAAATAATGTTCATTAGGCTGTTCACAGCCTTAGCTTGGACTGAGTTTAACTTTCAGAAGAAATGCAGCCATGCTGACAACCAAGTATTTGTAAAATTTGGATTTAAAGCTTTCGTGACTGCAGGGATTCGTATTCTTGGTTCTTTCGGTAAAGTCACGTAGAAGGGAAACAATCAAATAATAAAAATATTAAACAATAAAATTCTCACGACGTTTCGACTGCAACACAAGCAATCATCAGGTGTGAAACCCACAACAAGAAATTTTGAAAAAAGTGGCGGTTATTTTTATACAAACACAGAGACAATTTCAACCAAGAAGATGGATTCTGGCTTAGCAATCATTGGAAGGATTTGATAAACCATTTCGGGTCTTAATTGATTGATCACGCTTACGGTGGCTTTCAGACCGCATCCATTATTTTTCGTCTCCCCCCTCCTCTTTTCCGAACATAGATGGACTAGTCCATCTGAACAAACTGTCAAATCGCTATGCGTGGTGCTAACGTTAAAAATAACCTCCACTTTTTTCAAATTTTCTTGTTGTGGTTTTCACACCTGATGATGATTGCAGTCACGAAAACGCCAAATCATATTTGTAGTTTGTTCCCTGCACCGAGCAAAGACGACCACTAGAGTTGATTCAGCCTGCAGTGACTCAACCCCGTCTGTTGCCAATGGTACGTTCATTCATTCATCTTCGTCACGAGTTTAAATGTTTCCTAGTACAATAATTTAACACGAAAAACAATTTACGGCCCTTTCATTAATCAATTGCAGCATGCGAAGGCCTCCCTTGCACCGTGTCAGGGTCGTTTTGGCTTTACTTCACCACGCTGGTCAATGTCAGTTGGTGGGGCCTGGAACTGGTTCTGATATCACTCAATATCAAGCGTGGTTCGAGTTCCTCTCAGATGGGGGTGGCCGGTAGAGCTGTTGTTTGGAGAGTAAACATGGAAGGGCCATAAGGGGCATTCGATGGTGCAGGGCCCATCCAAGTGTAGTGGCCTTATCGACGTCGGAGATTGTTCTTAGAGGCAACACGTATTTATTATAAACACTTCTGTTTCAGTATCGAATCTAATACTTGAAGAGATAACGGCCTCTTCACCCGTTCTCTACAGAGGGAACGGTCCCCGAGCTCTAGCCCACGCTAGCTCCCTGGTTCCCTCTATCCTGGTCCTCTCTCAGGAGGCTGTCTGACCTGGCACAGCTTCGGCGCAGGTCCCGACCACCAGCCACACGAGTCCGGCCCTCAGAAGGACATCGGCCCTCGCGGCTCTGGTGTCGCACCCTGGCTTGACTTGCCCGGCCCTCAAAAGGACAGCGGATCGAGGGAGCTCCAGGGCCTAGCTAGTCGGTCTTCTCTCTTCACTGGTGCTTCATCTTGCTTGAGTCGAACTCCCCCTCAGCTTTCCGGGTCCCACCTTTTATACTGTCTTATTTATTCACGATGTACTTACAAAAAATTCCGCAGACTACCTACTGGATCTCCTCTCTGTTTCAAATAACAAATTTGACCTCAGGTCTTCGCTCATTTACCAGCTTCACATTCCCTATTGCCGTACTAAAACTGGAAGGGCCTTTGCTATTGATGCCCCTAGGGTCTGGAATGCTATTGCCAATAAACTGCAACTTGAATCACTACCTATGAGATCTTCACTCAAAACTGCTCTAGAGGAGTTGTACAACCCTAGCTGCCACTGCTATTCAGTGGCCTAAAATATGGCTCTAGATTTTGGTGTTATAATTAATTTATGTAGTTTATTGTAAAAAATTCGGTCACAGTCCCTATGATCACTGTTACATTGGATTTATGGCTTTTATTTTGGTGATTTCGAAAAGTTTTTTTGTTTTGGCCATGTTTTTGTTTATTGTAGTACGGAGTTGACTGATGGCCTTAATCTTAGTTGTCTTGTGGTTGTTATTTTGACTTGCATCCCACTGGGATTTTTGCACACAGCGTTGGTGTACGGTGCTAATATTTTGATATTTTTTTCCTGTATTTTCTGTTTGCACAGTCACATAATCACTTTAAGACGTTTTCTTGTTCATGTTTTTTGTTTGTTGCGGTTGCACCCGATTCAAGAGCCGAATGGCTCACAGGGCTATACCAAATAAATGAACTATGAACTGTCCCTCTCTGAGGGGTGGGGCTGGGATGGATCCCAGCATCCCCCACAGCCCCCCAGGGTGGTGGCCGTAGCGGACGTGGTTGTAGCCACCGCCCGACAACCGCGTGTCCCCGTCCCATAACACCTCTACACAAGCAAGCCCTCGAGCGTAAGCCCTTTTCGCTCTACTGTTGCTAGCTGTAGCCACGCAATCAAACTCGGGTCATCGGACTCGTAGTGCAGCATGCAAAATGTTCAGCCGCAAAAAAACCAGGTATGGGGGAGGGGGTCACAGCAGTCGAGTATTCCTTCCGCGACGTTCGTTTTGCAGCAAGAATCGCTGCCAGAAAAAAATCCGCCGGCAGAGGCCACGGGGCCCCACGGGACCCATGTGACTTGGCTTTTGCCTCGGCGGCTCTTGCAGATTACTCCTTAATCCCTCGGCAACACTCTTGATGTGCCTTGCCAACTCCTTGCAATTAAATCAGAAGCCAAAAATTAAGACAATGAGTAGACAGGCTTAACTTTATTTTTGAAATGCACAAAAGCGTTGTTGATCCCATGCAGGAGTGAGTAAATCACACAGGCTTAATGGTCACGAGTTTTTTTCTTCACGCTCGCATGGTTTATATGCTAACAGCAGTTCGGAGATCATTATTCAAACCACTTTACTCTGAACATGCCGAAGCAAAAACACAATTATTTCGCCAAAAAAAATCGGAATTGGTCGCAGCTTAATTCCCGATGTTTTGGGGGGCAGTGTGCAACCGCCATCTCTGTTGGGGGAGATGCTGCTGCATTTGAGGACAAAGTCAAACTGGGGCAGCGCAGACCTCGGTACCCAGTTGAACAGAATTACTTTATTTGGCGAGGCCTCATGGTCTCGAAGGGCTGTCGGGAAACCCACAATGCTGTGGGGGATCATAACAGCTCCTGGACAACGGATGCAGGAACGCAACCAACCTGTGCAACATTTAAAACTTGAAAAACAATAAACATTATACACCTTCGTTTAGTAGGAATTAACTACAAGATTGTTTCCAAATCCAACAATTTTGTAAAATTTATCAATAAATTAGGTTAATAAATCTAATAAATCTTTGTTGTAAATTCTGCCATAAACCATACTGTAATAACTGCTTTGCTCTTTAGAAGGCAGACACTTACATGTAAATATATTTATATATTTTTTATATATAGGAATGCTCCAGTACAAATCTAAACCATAGTGTTACAGAGTATATCCCTGCCTTACACAGGAAATTGTAAATGTATGCTCTTTGTATCTAAGAGCCAATATTATTTAAAAATTTATTTCAATATACATATTCAGATATAGTTCTTATTAAAAGTAAAATTGGTCGTTGATATTAACCAAACTTGCGTAATATTGTATTAAGTGTAAGTACAGCTTTGCTCTTTAGGCACAATGGCAAGAGATCGGTGTATTGGCACTGCAAACGGACATTCACAAGGAAACCCAACCATAGCCTGCAGAACATCCCATGTAGGCTTGTCTTGGAAGCGCCACCATCTCCAAAGTATTGCCATTCAAAGTATAGTAGTTGTTAAAAACGCACGTGCTTGCCTTGTCTGGATTCCATATAAAAATTGTCACTGGTACATATATGCAGAGAGTGAGTTTTCAGGTCCACGTGCTTGCACCACTCTTGAAAAGTCCACCAAAGAGCCACGGGCAGCACAATCTTCTTTTCGCAATGTGTGCGGGCAGAGGCGCATGGACGAACACAAAACGCCGATCAGCCTGCAATTTTTCTTCCTCAACGTCACTTCTTATTTCGGCACGCTGTTTGGGGGCAGCAGGCACTGGAATGTCCACACGAACTAATGTACAAACTATAGACACGATCAGAGTTACAATCTTATTTTACAAATCACTAACAAGAGGAATAATACGGTTAGCATTCAGACTTCAGGAGCCCCTTAACTGTGCCATCATGGTGAATATACATCTACTGCTACGTGTGTAATCTTAAGCCTCGCTTTAGATGTCAAATATACCAACCACTAGCAGCGTTGTATTAGTACTTATCAATAAGCCTGTAATTGTGCATAATACAAAACTGAAAGCTGTTAATTTCAAACAATACAATTTGTTAAACATGTATTCAGTTTGCTGTAAAAAAAAACCTCCTTTACCGTTTAATCGTGGTTAGATTTCATCATGAATGCAAACTGGCCTAACATTTAAAACATTTATACACACACATAACCATACGTACGAATGCATCTTAAATCCATATACAGTATAATGTGCTGTATGTCATCGTGAATCGCCAATGAATTGTACCTAACTTTGTAAGCGGGTTGTATTACCTCTTGCTGCTTTCTTATGGCGAAAGCGATATGTAAATATTGTTACACCCCGGCTCCCGGAAGGCAGATAAGGTTGAAACCCTGAGAGCGTCCGCACAAATGGCTTGTGTTCCTGGTTCACAATCGGCCAAAGGGCATGAGTCTTGCAGAATAAATGTGTGCCTTTTCCATTGTCCTAACTCATTTGCAGTGCCCTGTTATCTTGTTATCTTCTTCTTCTTCTGACTAATCTTATTTCCAGCGCCACACACGAGTGGCACTGTCTTGAGAGCACAGATGTCCGCAAAGTTGAGTGTTCATTCAGATGATAAATATTTTTTTTTTAAATGTACATATCTAGTGTCATTAGTACTAAAAAGGTATTTCAGATGTACCGTGAAAACCGAGGCAATGCAAAAATACATTTTAAAAAAGATAAAATATCTGGCAAATACAAATTACACCAGTCATTAAAGTTTAAATTAAGCTACAAATTTAGCATGTTTTTATTTTTGTTAAAAAATAAATAAATTACTGTAGTTCGGACATTTAAGTTCTCAAATTTGTGTTGCAAGTTTACCTACATTCAGCCATTTCATGTTTCAAGGAATCAAACGTGTACAAATGAGTGAAGTCTGACGCTACGCCCAACAACAACCGCTGTGGTGGATGAAATTTCTCCAAAGCTTGCAGTAGCACCCCTCCGCCCCTCCTCATGTTTTCACAGAAGCCTCATCGTTTCTCCCCTCCGTCTGTTGCTCACTCACGAGGTGAATCGCACACCAGAGTGGCGCTGCTTTGTTTTTTACTGCCATTGGAAACAAGATGCTCCTTTGGTGGTTCTTCCAAGGAGCTCATTTGGAGGCAGACGATTTACCATTCATTCTCCCAGACCACGGGTTGTCACTTGCAAATATATTAACGAAGAGACAACAATAGCAGGCTGCCCCCACCACCAATCAGTCTGATGACGAGGCATAAGGTGTGATGGGCCACCCACACAGAATGTGTTCAATGTAGGCTGCATGTTGAGTCGTTTCTCAAAATATAGCGGCATCTACGGGGGTGATTTATCCAAAGAAGTGGAATATAATGCGACCTGCATTATTATTTAATGCCGGGGCCAATCAAGCGATGGCGCCGCATCCAATTTTGAGCCCCCCGTCAGCTGCTGACCATAGCAAAGGTGGCTGCAATGAAAATGCGTAAATATTTTCTTGGTGTTTCACTTCAAGTCCAGTCCGTATGGTATATTGCTGTGAGATATGAGAACCGCGGACAGGCATAATCAACCCACGAGAGCTGACGACTGCTTTGCCTCAAAACGCGTTCAGGCGACGGTGCGTTTGCACTACGGGAGCCGATAACTGCTCCTTTACGGCTCCCGTTTGCAGTTTTTCAAACTCCAAAAGCGACTGTGTGGGTGCCGTCGCATTGGCTTCTCAGGCTCCCCGAGGGTTACAAGAAACATACCTGAGGCCACCATTCAATTGGCAACGAAAATACATTCAGTCCCGCTGGCCACCAAATGAACTGTATAAACGTAGCCCAAGGCACCGCTTTGAAGATAATTTTGGGAGCCCCCCCCCATCCCACCCCCGTAGGTTGTCATGCAGTTGGAAGCTTCACCGGGAAGTAAGGCCACCTCTGCTCGTCCACTCGGGTCCGACACAGGCATCCCGCAATGCACAGATCCTTTGCGTACGGTGATAAAAGGAGAGGGGCGAACGCACGGATGAGCGGGGGTGGGAAACGCGTTAAGGCCTGACCGGCATCAAGGCTAGAAGATCGCACAGCGCTGCTTGGAGGATTTTCGGCTGTCACTCACGATTGCTTCAACAAAGCAGTGACTGCAGGAACCTAAGTTGACGACTTAACCACGGGCCGGCTTTTGGAGTTACATCTGGGCTGGCGCTCTGCCAAGTGTTATTAAACGGAGACGCTTGTCACACCAGCATTAAATCCTTCACGGATTCCCAGCGGGCCTCGTTCAAGGTCAGGGAGGGCTGGCTTGTCGTACGGGGGCCCTCGCACCGAGATTCGATAACAACAACGCGGCAGGCAGCGCTCGCAAATGCCTGCAATAGCTGATCATCGAGTCCCTTTGAATAAATTCTCCCAGCGTCTCATTCATATCCGAGCGTCTCTCTCGACCTCGCTTCGCTGAAGGCGCTAGCAATGTCCCGTATGTACACAGTTGGGTCGGCGGCGGCGGCATGGCTGCTGCGCCTCCGTTACGTTGAAAGCTGCAGGGAGGGCGACAGGGAGGTTGGCATAGAGGACGCCAGGGTGGGCGCCAGGGTGGGCACCAGGGTGGGCGCCAGGGTGGGCACCAGGGTGGGCGGTAGATACGGAGGCGGGCTTGGCTCGTCGGGTAGGGGCTCGGTGGAGAACACGGAGTCGTCGCCGGAAGAGCAGGTGCTGTGAGTGTCGGGGAAGCTCGGAGAGTACTGCTCCAATGGGGCCGACAAGTCCAGGTATTCCTAATGCATGCACGTAGAGGGTCACACAGTACCAAAAGGGTTAACATTTACTCGGTGAAATTAACGAACATTCGTCGATGCCATTAAAGTATCTCTCGGTGCAGAGTGGTTAAATGATACAGGGGGACTTATGAAGGGAGGGTGGTTTTTACTGGTACATATTTGTTTTAAAAAACATTACCGGAAAATAAAACTTAAAGAGACATTGCACAGTTTAAATCGTCATTGGTCAACAGCCACAAAAGTAAACAAGCAACTTTAACAGTAACGTTTTGATAGTTGTAAATGTATTCCCGATTCAGAAACTCGTTTGTAACCTTAAGACTTTTCACCTCCGTGAAACAACCAGCACACGACGCTCAAGATCGTCATCAGCAACGCATGGCTGCATTCGTGGACTCAGCAGCTCACACGCGCGTTTGCGTTATACCTCCTGAGCGGTCATGGTGAGGATGCGATCCAAGTCTTCCACCAGCTGCTTGAACGTGGGCCTGTGCGAGGGGACAGCTGCCCAGCAGTCCTTCATCATCATGTACCTGTGCACGCAGACAGCACGGGCAGCCGTTTACTCCAGGCTTTGCCTCATAAAAAAAATATAAGGTCACACTCATTACACACACAAAGGAACTGCAATACCTTGCCGATCTCCATCAAGGAGCATCACGCAAACTCTGGTCATCCTCGCAGCGGTGGCTTTTGGCTGGCCATCGAACCAAGATGGTCACCGCATCGCACGCTTTCGGACGTTCTTCCAGGGCCGTCTGGAACGCTCTTCCTTCCTATATTAGGAAGCCACTGGAGCTATGGACTTTTAAATCTCGATTGAAAACTCATCTCTTTAGAACTGCTTTTTGTGTTTATTTTCTTGTCCTTCCCCTCGCACATCCGATTAGTACGGTTGGCTACGTGCGGTGCGAAAGAAGTTCAACATACATACATACAGGCCTGGGTCATGCAGCTTGCACACACACACGCGCGTTGGCACTGTTGGACGTAACTTACTGCAATGCAGCAATGAAGCACCCGGCATTCAAGTGAGATGCTACAAGTCAGAATCAGAATCTGTAGTTAGACGAGAAGATTCTGATGAGCTAGGCAGCTCTTTTTCACAGATGTCCAAGTAGAAGCACGGGTCATAAAGTTCCAACGAACAATACAAAACAATACGAAAACCTAAAGGGTTGCAAAGTATAGGAAAGCGAAGCAAGTCACTAAACATAAATTAAGCATACAAGTACAAATTGTATATCTCATATCCCTTTCATGCCTCAATTTGAGTGTTAAATTAGACAGATTAAGCACACCACCGGTACCGTGTGTTTTTTTTCAGTCGCTACGATAAAACAAGCAGCCGCTTGTGGAGCAGCAGGCAATACCAACGGAGGAGGACACGAAACCGCAACGCGTCAAAAGCGCGCAAAATTTCACAATCTCCGCATCGACCCCTGGCGACCCTCGCCGAGTTCACGCCCTTCCCGTTTCGGCGCGGCTCATTACTCGCAGCCGGCCTCCGCGGCACGCGCGCGCCACCAGCGGCGACCGGGGGATTTAAAGCATCGGCCCACGTGACTTCTGAACGCGACTTCAGAACGCGGTTTCTGAACGCGGTTTTTCCGATTGAGATTTACGAGCGCAATTTGTAAACGTGATTTCTGAACGACCAAAGATGAGCAAAGCCACCTGAGAGAGTGTCCACCGGCCTACGAGAGGCTTCTGCGTTTGCCTTTACGATTCCGTTGAGAAGGACTTCCACAGCTGTATCATGTTTCCCGGTGACTCGTTAAATGTGTAACACACTGGTTACAAGACTATAAAGATATCCACATGTCAGCGCTGAACATGGTTGTTAATTGGTCGATCATTGTTCACACTGATTAAAACCAAGTGACTGGGGAATAATGAATTAAGTGGCAAATTAGCGTAATGCTTAACCCTGTTCGCATAAACACTTAAATCAGTTTCCATTAGGCAGAGAAAAGGTTTCCTCAGCTTAGCACATAAAAGTGAATATAATACAATGTGATATAAATTTGACAACTTTGCACGCAATTTTCTGCAGCGTTCACCCCCCCCCCCTTCCCCTTATAAATCACGACCGTACATAACTGTAAACTGTGAACTACACCCTCCCTAATCATTTACCTCGTGTATTTAATTTTCTTTCTTTTGGATTTCTGCATTTAAAATACATGCACATTTCTGCCAAACAAAAAATCCCAGGTAATGCATCGCTTAATAGCTGACATCCTTCGCTTTAGGTGTGGAGCAGGAATGCGAAGTGGCCGCAGTGGAGTGAGGGGGGATAGACGCAGACAAAAGAACGCGAGGGTTTGAGCCGTGCCACTTTGCACGAACTTTGCTCGCTCCAAATTAAATATTTCACACCTGCACGCACTTGCAGTAAATCACCTACGGCATCCCAATTCACACAGGGAGGTCGAGGAGTTTGGAATGCGAAGGGGGAGGAGGGAAGAAGGATGTAAGGTTAGGGCTAGGGTTAGCTTGGGGGTAGACATTGGCATCTGATCGCAGGCCTGAAGATAAAGTAAGATAGGCCATCTTCCACACAGACACAGGTTGCTTGTGTCACCGAGCCAGCCAGTCTGAGTATGCCAGGGTCAGAGTTCAACAGGAAGGTTCAGAGAGAACCAACCTAGCATGTGACCCAGAGCCAACCCACTGTATAACATTCCATCTCTCAATCAGTCCATTATCATGCCATTTCAGGCCAATGCTGTTTATCAGCAGCCTGCATATTACAGCACACATTCCTCGCGCTCACTCACTGCCGTGTTTACACAGCGCCCCCGAACGGCCCCCCTCCTGCTCCCCGCCGTGTATAAATCACCGGACGCAAGAGATTTCAAAATCTGCCTTGCTTCATGCTCCCATGTCGTCGGTGCTTACGTGATTAGTACCCCGCTGTGGACAGACAGCCATTTGTTTTATGTCTGCGTTACACAAGGCCGGGCCGCCCCAGCGCTGTTTGTGTTGGTGCAAGACCCTCGTTGAGTGACACAAGTGATTGTTAAGTAAGCCAAAGTAAACATTTAAAGGTGATATTTGCTAAATATTGGAGTAATAGATCTGATTTTTTAAACACTACTCGCTTTTTTGTGCACGCAACTTGGAGGGGCAGAGTTGGTTGTTTTTAGACCCAAAATGTTAATACGGCAGTCACTTTGTTTAAAAAAAAAGGTACACAATACAAGAAGTGACGTTTCCAAAGTGTAGCGCTTCACGTTGAAATGACGTTAAGATAATTTTAATTACAATATAGCCAAATTGGCAAAGGTGAAATCAGTTAAAGGAGAAAGTGCCAAACAATTTCTCTTTGTGCGGCGTCCTTTCTCAGAGGCGTGGCGCCTTCCTTACATTTAGTTCTGTCCATGATATTTACTCAAGAGCTTTGCATTGGATAGCCCTCCCAATTGTACCCAATTGCTTATACAGTATATTTAATGAAGTCCACACGATATTAAATGTCTTGCTTTCTCATTTTTTGCGTCCAAGAATTTGTACTTGCCTTGCTTTAATTATTCTAAATACCATTGTTGGTAGGTATCCTACTGCTGTCTGTAATACATTTATGTTACGCATATTTGTCTGTCTGATAAATGTTTAACATCCTTCTTAAAAATAGCCTACCATCTCAAATAGGCTACATACTATTTGACATTTTATACGTGCCAGATTTTGCACAGGACCTTTCTTAAATAAAAAAACAGTCAACACGTGCCGGCCTATTCAAGGCAACTCCTCCTGCGAGGCATGGTGTTTTTTTGTCATGCTGTAGTGGGGATGCTGTTTTTGTCATGCTGTAGTTGGTGTACTCATAGTCATGCAACAACTTGGCTCTGTGCCCACGATTCCATTCCATGTTTTGATTCCACAAAACTCTGCGATGGACAGCGCCGCTGCAGAAGGATGGGGATAGCCCTGTAGGTGTCGGGGTAACTTATAGTCATTCCCAAAAACTTTGTCGAGGAAAATCACGAGAGACCGAGAAAGGGAGCTTAGAAACATAACTTCTGCCGTGAAGAGCTCGACTTTACACTGTAATTCATGATCGTCGCCATAATCATCATCATTATCGTCACTTTTGCAGAGCCGAATCATTTCCCCTGCGATGCAACGGCTGAATTTCAGCGTCGTTGGGCATAAAACCAATTCTTGGTGGCACCGCTTTGGCCGTGTCCAAGGTAACGAGGGCAGGCAAATAAACTGTATCGCTAAGGGCAGCCCATTCATTGTGAACACTGACGTGACTGACCATGTCCGTGGACTGGGATAAATGCTTTTGTTAGAAAGCTTATCTTGCATGGCTTAGTTTTGTGGGGGCTGTCATCGAGTCGTTTGCTCGGTTGAGATGGCTAACCTGCGATGTTGTGGCTCCAACACCAAGTGACAGTTTGGAATGGATCAAGCAATGGCCGGCCCAACAATCTGCCCACGCATACGGCGGCAGTGATCCACACGTCCGGCAGATCGTGACATCGAACGGGGGTGGGTGGGGGGGGTGTCGTCAATGAGTTGCCATTGTGTTTGGATTTTGGGGGGGAAATTCACGATGCTCTCTCGTTATCCATTTAAATTGGGGAAAAAAAAGTGTTTGTGATAAATTGCTGTTTGGTGTTTGGAGCATGCACCGATGAGTAGCAGTCCATTGCTCTTTATTTTAATGTACCAGTGTCCAATTAATGCGATGATGCCAAGTTGTGGCATCATATCCGACTATTATGTTTAAAAGTCATCCCACGAGGCTCGGTTTGTCACCATCAGAAGTGGACGTGGTGCTACGTTGGTCGAGAATATTTCTCTTTCTTCGTCGGGAGTTCAACATGGCGGGGACATAAGCGCTGTCGATGGTCGAGTCGTGATTATTTTCCAAAAGCAGTTGGAAAAACGCGCGATGGGTTAACGCGTGCCTTTGGCCAGGTTCTTATGTTTTTTTAAACGATAACGTCTTCCGTTTGCTAAACCAACACCTGATTGTTAGTTCAATGTATGCAGTATGCACAACAACAATGCTACATTAATAGGAATTGGACCAAGTGAGCAATAAGCAGCAATGAAGCACACAAGTAAACAACTGGTAGGATTTTGACTCGGCCAGGTATAGCTGTTATACCAGCTTGGTGATCTGCTAATTATCCTGTAGTTATGGTTAACGTAGCGCTCGGAGTGGCAAATCTCAAAGAAACACAACGCTCACAGGTTAGGTTCGACGCCGCGTGTATCGTGAGCACAAGCTGTGGATTTTAAGAACTGATGCATCAGTGCATGCTTATGAACTGTGGTTGACACCTACGGTTGCTATGACAGAGCCACACAAACGGACACGTACGAAATAAATAAACACACAATATCTCATTTCACAGAACTGTCCCTCCACGTAACAAAATAAAAAAATACACTTCCCATCAACCACAAGACCTTCTGGGAATGCATAATTTCTCCAGCATCGGTTCAATACAAGCAAAGCTCTGGATCAGTTTTTAACACAAAATGTTTCATCAGCAGAGTCGGGCTCGCTTGAACCAACGCCGAGTGAACTGCCAGACGTTATTGGCAAGGATGCTCTGTGTAAGACACGGGTCCTACTTACAGCTCGGTGGAGCAGAGGGCCGGCCTGTCCATGCGGTGTCCCTCCTTGAGGAGTTTGAAGAGCTCCTCCACGGGGATGCCCGGATAGGGAGAGCCCCCCAGCGTGAATATCTCCCACAGTAGCACCCCGAACGACCACCTGAATGCGACGAACGTGGAGCAACGGACGTGAGCGAGCAGCAGACAGGGACACACGCTCGCACACTGCCATACTGCCCACACTCTCTAACTGACGGTCGCGCTGTTCTGTACGGCGATGCTGTATGAATGCAATTTGTTCTGTAAGGGAGAATGCGTTCCCACTCAGATGTGTGTGGCCTGGTGGTCATCTCCATCCACCACAACAACCGCACATGATGATCCTCATCTTCATCGTTGATACAGCATCTTACACATTAACAGCGATGGATTTGCAGTCTATAGGCATGAGTTTTAAACTTGTCAGTCGTTACAATTACAATCATTTTTTTTTTCATTTACAGACTTGAACAGAAGTTCCCATAGCCGGGCTGCGCGCAGCAAGTTATGCACGCGGGTTTACGCCATCGCCGGCTGTACGGCAACGGACGCTTCTTGCCGCGTCTCGCACCGGGCCAGCCCCTCTGCGGCACCGGCGAGCGAGCGCCGATAGCCGACAAACCGGCGATATCGCAAAACGCGTTCGGCACTCGGTGGTCGTGCCACTGGCTCACCTGGCGCTTAAAAGTTAAAGCCAAGTTACCACCCCCCCACCCACCAACTCCCAAGCCCGCTGCGGAGGTGTACTCACACGTCGCTCTGGTGCGTGTACACGCGGTCGAACAAGGCCTCCGGCGCCATCCACTTCACCGGCAGACGGCCCTGAAAGGCGAGAGCGACGCAACGATCCGGTCGGTGGAATCCAGGCAAAAGCACACTCATTTTGGGGCAAGGCCAGCTGTGCTTATATCCAAAGCAGTGTGTTCGTATCAGAAACTTTCCCCTTTGCCTTCCCCCACCCCCCCGCCACCGTCACTAGCGTAATGTAAGCGCGTGTCTAGATTTTATCGGAGGCGTGCTTATATAAATTGCACTTAGTGTCCAGCGTCTACCGTCTATAACGGCTTTGCGGCAAAACCACGTGTACCAGCAACATGTCTGCCGCTCCGGAGCGAGTTACGTCTTCCTGTGTGTGTGTGTGTGCGTTACTGCGTATGCGTGCCTGCGTGCGTGCAACCAAAAGCGCCGACAGATGCCCAAGTCAAGTGAGCCACCGTGCTGTGGCTACAACGCCGAACGTGCTTCTTCTTTGTTGGGGCCTTTTAAGCGGCGCGATTTACCCACGCAGCCTGGCTCAGCTGCAGCACGGATGCCGTTAACAGACGTCTCTTTTGGGGAACGGCGCACCACAGGTCTCCGTTTTCATTGCAACAATCTACATGCAGCGCACCTGATCCTCTTTACGTGGACGTTATGAATGCCTATAATCCCTCTACTTTTTTGGGATTTGAGCGGTGTTAATGAAGTGCACCTGCATTATTAGACTTGGCCAATATGTAAGGAGGCAATGTGACAGATCAGGCTCAAGAATGATTAACCTGTGAAGGAACATTGCATGCCGATCTGGAAAATAAGCACCATACCCTGCACTGCAAAGTAGAACGAGTAATATTCTCATGTTAAAATGTAAGGAATATTCTTGCCATCATCTAACGTAATTATTTTGAACTTTAAAGAATTTAGTTTTAGGAATTGTCTTAATCTCAATGCAAGTTATTAGAACAGGAATTTTTAGCGACAAAAAAAGCAAAAAAATGTTCACGATAAAGATATCTATGGAAGGAAATCTGGTTGGGTTTTGGCACTGTGGTATGTACAGCCTTTGTTCGTGTTAATATACTCATATACCAAAAAAATCATATCCAAACAACCCAATAAAAACATTCAAACTCATCCTTGCCGACCACAGCAAGCCTAAAAAAAATAATTCATTTCCCATGAGCTACACAAACGGTTTCAAAGGTCTCTGCCCTCCTCTTCTTCCAATATAAAATGTTCAAGAAAAATAAATAACCGTGCTTTCCCTTCCTTTCACTATTTCATGACCGTGACAAATATTCTGTACGCCGGTGTTGGTGTCGAACGTCGCCGGTGAAAGCAAAACAAACTCACCTCACGGGCCACCTCTCTAAACCCGCCACAAACCGCAGTGACAAAGGGGAGGGACTGATGGGGGGGGGGGGGCATAGTGGGGGGGGCATGGTGGGGCTCTCCAATGCCTGCACACAAAGGGCGTAAGCTAATCTGCTTGACCTGTAGCTGTAAAAATGACCGGTCATGAAAAGTGCATAAAGCCTTTTTTGAGGAAATCGTGCAGAGGGAGAGTTGGGAGAAAAACAAAACCTGCTCGTGCCATATGTTGAAAATTGTCGTTTTTTCCCTAAATGTCAAAATATTCACGTAAAATATTAGACGTGAACACATTTATAGACGCTTAAGTTAACCGACAATGTTATTCACTCACTTGGCATTGCTGGCTTGGCTTAAATTTACTTGGTTATGCAGCTGGGCGTTACTACGGCTACTGTAAAGCCCAACTGCACACGTGCTACACAAGGCTATTTTATGATAATGATCATTGCATTTTCAATTGTAATTAAAGCACATTTTCAAAAGCAATTAGAACCGCAACTGTACCAAAAGTGGATGTTTCAACTACCTGAAATAATTTAATAGAATTATATTGTCATCGGGTGTCAATTAACCGTAATTACATTTTATATAAACCCGGATTAAGTTTGTTTGCAGCGGTTAACTGGGTTGCCGCTTAATTTTAATTCGGGTTCATTACTCGTAAAAACATCTTTGATGACACGTATGCACGCCGACGGCTAAACTGACGGTGCATAAAATCCACCGGATGTTTTGCCGCACTCCCGTTTTAAGATTTAGTCAAATGATGTTCACCAAAGTTAAAAATGAATCCCATGTTGAATTGGACCAATGACAACTCACCAAGTCGCTACGGGAGGTGTACCGCTACACCATGAGAGAGGTAATTACTTGTAGCCATTTAGCAAAAGAATATAATAAGCGTTGCGTTCATCAGCCGAAAGCTTCGGCAGTGCTCAATGGTTAATGTGATGGTGGCTCTGAGCTGCAAACAGCCAAGGAAGCAGCCTCGCTCTTTCTGAACCACAAACATAAACTATTAAAAACTAAACTATTTTTTTATTTTACCTGGTAAGGCCCCCTGAGCTACATAGGTCTTTTTCAGAAGTGACCTGGTCACAAATGATAGCTAAACGAAGTGACTTATCATTGGTAAGTCATGTTTCTAAATGTGGAAGGAAAAACCAGAGGACCAGGAGAAAAATCCACGTGACCACTGGGAGAGACACGCAAACTCCAAATACACAGCAGGCGTCGGGGTCGGGATCGAACCCACGAACTCCTGCATACCAGGCGAGGGAGTTAACATCTCGCCACCACTGGGCCAAGGGGCTCCCACCCAATGCCGTCCACCCATCACGATCCCCCGCCGCCTCCATCTTGCGCGCTCCTCCAAATATTCTACCCTCGCACTGCCGTTTCATTTACTATCGACCTCCCTTTCTCGCTCCATCGGCCTCCATTCTGCTGTTCACGCTGCCCATCTGTCACGTGATGTCCTCGCTAGATGTCCTGCCCAAATCCGTTTCAATATATATTTTTTTATCTTGTGAATTACGCCCGTTATTCTTGTTTCCAATTCTCCGTCTAATTGTCGTCCCTCTTCGTTACGTTCGCAGCCTCCTTTCCCGTTGCTCTCGCGGTTAAGTGGGAGGCCAGTACGAAGCGGGACGAAAAAGCGCGAGACGCCAGGCAGTACGAGGCCACGGTGGTGGGGGCGGAGGCGGTCGAGTGGCTCGAGACTCACGTTGGACGTCTTCTTGTAGTAGTCAATGTAGTTGACGTCACGGGCGAGGCCAAAGTCCGCGATCTTCATCACGTTGTCGTCCGTCACGAGCACGTTCCGTGCCGCCAGGTCTCGGTGGATGCACTGCGTCGCACAAACATCATCGCGAAGAGCGCGCGTGACGCGAATCGACGAAGATTGGAGGCAAAAATGCGCAGCCCTGCAATTGCTCGCTCATACCACTGTGGACAGGAGGGGCCTCCCAGTCGAAGGCGCTCGAGAGAGCCCTTGCAGAGGGCATGCAGGCCTACTCATCCATGCAGGCCTACTCGTCCATGCAGGCCTACTCGTCCATGCAGGCCTACTCGTCCATGCAGGCCTACTCGTCCATGCAGGCCTACTCGTCCATGCTCGTCAAAACATCTTGGAAGAGGGCGGAAGTGTACCCACGGTTTGCCCCACCACACGTGACCTCCTCTTGCACAACGAATGTGGTGTGCCCGTTTATGCCGCTGGGTGGACAGAGGCAGGGACTTTGGAAGCATCTAAAACAACCGCGTGTGCAAGTGGCATAATCGCGTTCATATACGGCAGTACCAATCATGATAAATAATAGTGGTTTAACTCACTCTATGCGGGTTTGGTCCGTACGGTCTACCGTATATCCTATTTCTACCCAAAATTCCCTCCATCTGGTTTGAATTCACCCATAACGCGGCTATGCGATCGGACGTGGGACAACACTGTGTGTGTACTGTACCGTACGTACCGTGTGCGCTACTCGGCAGCCAGCCGTGCCGTGCGCTTTCGCTTTGTGGAACGCATATACTGCACCGTATCAAGCGAGGGAAACCTGTAAACTGTCGTCGATGCATTTTCGAGCAATATCGGGGAAAAGAGACGTTTGTCCGATTCCTTGCGGCAACGTCAGAAAGGAGAAAGGGGAAAAATTTTGACGCGAGCAACGTCCTCGGGCGTACACGGCGAACCTTCTTGGAGGCGAGGTACTCCATGCCCCGCGCCACCTGGTAGGTGAACGACACCAACTCCTTGATGGAGAGCTGCTCGCCCTGCGCGGCGGCGGCGCCCTCGAACGTGTACTCCGTGCCGGGCGGCCTGCGGGCGCGCAGGAACTCGCGCAGGTTCCCCTTCGCCGCAAACTCCACGATCACGTACAGGGGCCCTAGGGTGGGGTGGGGGGGATTAAGGGGGTTGGGGGGGGGGCAACGGAGGTGGTTGGATAAGCGCTGGGAATGACAATTATCAGAATCTACATTTTGAGACCGAGTTACGATGACTTAACACTGCTGTTGTCAAATCACTTATGAATCCAAATTGCAACCGGAGGGTCAAGATGTCAAATCGCAGTCGTGGATCAACTCGGCCCATGGTGCCTCTGGGTCGACGTGCATGACTCTGCGGGAGCTAAGAAGCGGTTTCCCGCACCTCCGATTAGCAGAGTTGGCTACGTACGGTGCAAAAGAAGTTCAACATACAGTACGTGAATGGACTGATATAACTGTCAGGGGAATTCCATCTGCTGAAGTAGGACTGACAATGAATATTAAAACCCCCACCGCCCACCTCTCAATGTTTATACGAACATCAAGACTCGTGATTATTTTTTTTCCTTCAGTCATCCGTTACGTAATGCATCACACAGTATGCGTCTAAGTGAGCATCAACTCATTACCAAGCGCCTCTGATGAGCACGCCTGGCTAAGTAGGGTGTCAAAGAAGTTCAACGTGCGTGCATGCATACATACATACGAGCGATCGGCTTCTGTTCCTGCACCACATTTGTCCGCGTTGCCTTTGCACTAACGGAACTGTGCAAATCCCCCATCGCGAGGGAGTCGCCGCTCCACACTCACCGCCCTGCGTGCACGCGCCCAGCAGGTTGATGATGTTTTTGTGCTTCCCAATGTTCTTCATCATCTCCATTTCTGACACCAGGTCATACAGGTCCTTGTCTGTGGCATCCTCTGCGTGTGGGAGATTGGACAAAAGGGGCGAATGAATTAAATCACTGCGGCCAATGGAGCTATGCCATTAGGTCGAGTAACAATACGTCGGTGCATTTATGGTGCAGTTAGAGAGTGCGTTGTGAACAGACACACGCGACTGTCAAGAGCCCATGGGTGAAGTCGATCGGTTCAGACAAAAACACAGAATTATAAAAGCGGTCACGATTTAATATTTGTCGACGCGCGTCAGCGGCAACGGTTCGTGCGTGCGGAGCGCACGGCGTGCCCGGAACGCGTGGCTCACCCTTCAGCATCTTGACGGCAACGCGGAGGCTGCGGTTGGGCTTCTCCTTGTCGATGCCCAGCGCCTCGGCCATCACCACCTGTCCGAAGCAGCCCTCGCCCAGCGGCTTGCCGAGCGTCAGCCTGCAGACGCGCACGCAATAAAGACAATGATCCCACGCGTGTAGCCGTAACAGACTGTTGGGGCAACAGCGAATGCCGCGACCGCTAGGCCACCTGACGAAGGACCGATTCGTTGCTTCACATCGATTCGCTAGCTCACGATACGGCACGATCCATCGCGTGCGTTGAGAGCGGCTCTTTTCAATGCGTGTGTTTTACCGTATAGCATGGGTTCAGCCGATCCCTGCAGGAACTGGAGGCGATACATTTAACGATAAAATAATATAATATACATAATCTTGAACTGAATCAGGGTAATAGATTGTGACTACAGCTGGGTGATTCGTCTATTAAGGCGACTAAAAATAGTAATCGGCTACTTTTTGTGGTCGATTACTCGGGACCGTTTATAAATTGTGGTTGCCCTGGCATCCTGGATCCTCATGAAGGTGGGAAACCCCCTACAAGCCACGCCCTGCGTGACGCAGCCAACGGTGGAATCTTCCCCCCCCCCCCCCCCAACTATTATTCGTACGGTTAGCCCGGCTCTACCTCGGATGGCAGGGCAGGTAAAATCATTTGCTTCGTGCTGAGTAACAAGCGATAGGAACAAGAATAATAAGATAAATTATCATGATGAGAATAACAGGTGACGAACCATTCCCGAGAGAACTCCCAGCGTGGATCTTCGGTCAGCTCATACTCGGAGACCCCGGCCAGCGTCGGGGAGTCTCCCGACGAGAAGCGGCCGCCTCGCATCACGAGCGGGACGCTCGAGTTCATAGAGCCGTTGGACTCCACCGATACCTGGGGGCAGCGGGATCCCATATGTGGTTAATAATGGACGTCGATGTTGAACGCACGCATGGACACGGCATGCCCACGACCATACATAATACCCAGAGCCACACACACCCGCAATCACAAACTCGCACACACTTGCACACCCACAGCCACACACACAGACTGAGACATTTGACATTGTCGATTTCCTATTAGAACTATTCTAGCAGTTTAGGAGAGGGCTTCAGAGATAAAAAAAAAACGTGTAAATCCCTCGGTGCACAGACCTGTTGTCCATGCGCAGCAAGTGCTGTTAGTGAGCACCTCTGAAGGTTGGCGCGGCACATGAAAGTAATTTAGCCAACACCAAACCTGGCCTCCTTTGTTTACCCAGGCAGTTTGTTAACACACCGCTGCTAAAGATCGTCCGGCATGGTGTGGGCTTCTTGCTGCCTTATGCTCCACAGGGAGCGAAGAGGAGTAAGTAAGCACCTGGAACTCATGTAAGGCTGAGTCGACAAAGGGGAGGCCCAGAATCAGTTTAGATATACCCCACTGATGTTCGCCGCAAGTGGGAATTGATCCCAGGTTGCCGGGTTCGTAGCGCAGTGCACTAAACTAATATGCTACCACTGACACACACACATGGTGCGACTGTGAATGGTGGCACCACCACCAAAGATCTCCCGTGTAGCCTTAACAGACTGTTGGGGCCAGTGCTGTTAAGCGAGCACGTATGAAGGCCGACACTGCACACGAAGGGGTGGGTGGCCAGCACCACGCCCGGCCGCCTTTGTCTCCCCAGTGGCGATGTTTACACACTGCACCAGGTACTCATTTGAGGCTAAATCGACAGGCAAAACACAAGGCCGGTTCAGATAATCGTCACTGGTGTTGGCCGTGAGCGGGAATTGAACTCGGGTCGCCAGGTTCGAAGCGCGGCGTGCTAACCGCTACACCACCGCTCCCCATTAACCACTACGCTACCACTGACACACACACACAACACAAACATTGTGCGACTGCGACTGGTGGCGGCACCACCACCATCATCATCACAATCACCTGTCTCTTGAGAGGGATGCCCTTGGAGAGCTTGCAGAGCTTGGGCTCATTGAAGGGCGGCTTCTGCGCCTTAGGCGTCCGCATTCGGCAAAATACCACGACGGCAATCATCATGAGTACGAGCAAGCCGGCCGTGCAATAAATGCCAATTTCCAAATAATCTGGAGGAGCGAGGCCGACCTTCACCTCGGTGCTCTCCGCTGTCGGGAGGGGGGGAAATCATGGTGGCACGAGGTCAAGCAACGCAGTGTGAAGCAAACGCCCGACGCAACGGTGCCGTCCAGTAATTACGCGATGTAACTATGTATGCATTTCTGTGTTGATAAGCTGCATATAAATAAGTGCTAAATGTTAACGATTAAACAATGCATTTGATTATGGCAGGTAGGAGCACCTGGTCCTTAGCACTGTACTGTGTTAATCTCGTTAAGTTTGCTAAACAAACTCAATGCGATTAATAAGCATCACTAGTTACTTAACTAAAACGCGCTGACTGCACACACAAAATGAAAACAAAAGTAAAAGAAACATTCAATATCTCAGCAATGTTTTCCTGATAATCCAGTTTGAAAATCTCAAACTTTCAACCGTGAACATGGCATTATCAGGAATACCGAAACGCGGGCTGCTTTAGCGGACCGAGACTGCGGAATGTGTCAGAAATGCGTTAGAATTTGTGAAAATATTTTTTATGAGTCCCCTCTCGTGCACATGTTTCAAAATATTAATTATTTAATAATAAAAAATCAGAACTTTTATTATAGCTTTTCCTCAACATAAAGTTGCATTTTTTAATGTTGAGCTTAATCAGTGAGACCCACCCTAATTGCTAGCCTAATATCTATTTCACAAGATCTAAATAATGTACCAATAGTGTTTAAATGAATTATTAAATCACTCTAAAATGTAACTTAAGGCCAACATTGCATGTGAGATGTTCATAATAATATGAATAGCCTTTGTGATTATTTAACATTGCATTTTTTCACGTAATTTAGCATTCGTACATATACAAAATTAGCATTTCAATTGAAAAAAAATATTCAATTGTACTCCAGTACTGTAGTCAATTATGCAACCCTAAAAAATAGACTTGACTTGTAAAAAAAAGCCATATTTGGATCAAGTGTTTGTGTTTCGTCAGCTAAAGCAGTTCCGGTTCAGTGCCTAGCAGCCCCTCTCGGCCAGATAATCGAGTTTAGAGCAGCATCTGCCCAAACCGGAGGCTCGTTTATTATCGAGGTGCCGAGAGGGAACAACTGCTGCTACCGCTGCTTCGTAAAATAAAGACAGCGGCATCAGCTGCTAGGCATCAACACCCACATGCAGAAAAACAAAACACGCGAATGTATACAAACTGCACACTTTCCACGGCGTTACAAAGTGCTTCCGATTACATCTGAACCCATCTGGACACAGGCTTTCTAAGGACGTTTTCCTGGGGTTTTTGTTGTTGTTGTTGTTATGTCCTTCTCTTGGAATGCATTTTAAGAGTGGCTGATCAAAAAAAAATCCAATCTGGTTGGTCGCCTTGGCGAGGGATGGCTGCTGGAGCGCATGAACAATCTGTTGTTTCCGCGGCAACTTTTCCTGCTCAAAAGTCAAAAGGGGACCTTCTCGCGAGCTTCAATGGGCAGCCAGTACCTGTCCCACACCTAACCAGGTGATTTCTGTCGCTCTGAAATCCGTGAAGTAATAATGCTGGCAAAAAAAAGCACGTGTGTAAAAATTTCTACTTCGTGTGTACGGAGAAAAAAAAAGCAAGCCTCATGTTACGGGCTAAACTGACCACCCGATGCTTCATTATTATGACTGGAAAGGAGTACCTACAGGCAGCGATTTTATGACTCTTATAAATAGTATTTGGCACAAATCCCAAAAATAACTAAATAAACCTAAATCCACTGCCAATTAAAGTATGTTTCTAAATATAAGCATCTACATCTATAGTATTAAAGTAAATTATTTTTGTGAACAATAAATGCATGTCATAAGGCTAACCATATAGTTTACAGGCTTATTAATAGTTCACCCCTTAAGCGATGCGATGAAGTATAACACGAATCGGGATATACGATTTAATTTCAAGGCCAATTATTTGTCTCACTTGTGTTCGCTCCATTAGCCTAGATGCAGCAGGCCTACCTTTCGCGTACTACTTGGGACAAATCGTAAACCCTCCTCACGCCCTCCTCGACACGCGTATCGCAAGCGTAACGATTCATTCCAAATTGACGAACCGATGCCATCGTTAACTGCCAAACGGTTGACCCGGAGGTCGAGGAGCGTGTGTGCATACTGCCCACACGGAGGCTCCCCTCTTGAGAGTTCTGCGCCTTCCCACCGCCACCCCCCCGCCAAACACTGGATGCAGAGATTCCCAGCTGCTGTGTTCAGTGGCTGCGCGTAGGCAACCTGCTCCGAAGCCGGTCCAAAAAAGCAACTCCTATATTAAATTCAAAGGCGGATTTAGCGTCGCGTTTGGGAGTCAATGGGGGCGGGAGGGATGCCGGACCGTGGGAGATAATTTGGGCGTAGACACAGACGTGGGCGCCGTTATCTGGCTGCGCAACTGCAGGAGCATGCGGACGTTTTGAAGCCGTGCAGACTGCGCCGTTGAAAGGAAATGTGAACCGCCGTCTTGCGGGCCAAAACAACGTAATGAACGCCGGATTGGGCGGCAATTCTCAAGAGCCGAGCGTCACGCTGGTCACCGCTTAACGCTGAAAATCGATGTCCCACATTCTGACGCAACGTGGATAAGCAGTTCTATAATAAATGAGCGAAAAATTTTAACTGTGCGCTATGCCGCAGAACCGCTGGGTGTAATGTGCCTGTGTTGGTGCGCGTCTATCGATAAAGCATAAAGATATTCGACAAGTATAACATTAGTTAGCAACAAGGAGCCAGCCAACTGCCGAGCATGAGCAGCCAATTATTATAACACCACCACACTATGCAAAAACGAGATGGAAGTTTTTTTTTAAGTCCGTAAAAATGTGCAATGTAATAAAAAAAATTTCACACAATGAAGTTGGGATTGAGTTGTCCTTGGAGACCGAACCCACGTGCCTCGCCGCCAACTTTGTGAACCGTGTTTTGCGTTTCGTGCACCTAATGCAAATTGCTCGTGCCCAGAGAAGCCACAATATAAGACACTGAAAGGACCCCCTGCAACAGGGCTCCGCTGCCGTTTGTTTAAAGAGACGCCGTGTTCCCAAGTTTCAGTGAATCGGAAGCACTTTGTAGGAAACTGCACGCGTATAGCATTTATCAAAGAAGACACCGCACATAAAATGTGACGTTACCACTAGAAACGCTGCTTTGGTAGCCACAAGGCCGTGTCGGAGTTTAAGGATCGTGACTTAGCTCTCACTCGACGGACGTGTGCAAAAACCAAAGAAATGTTGGGGGATTTTTTATTTTTTTGGACCGGAGAAAACGGGGTGGCATTGTCTGACTTTGGCACAGTTTGGCATTAACATTTTTTAAGTTGTAATAATAATAATAATGACTTTAATTTAGAATTCGTAACATCTCTTCAGGGTAACCTGACCTGACGGCGGAAATTGCAATTTTGCAAATTGAGCGATGGACATCATTAATTCTTTGTGACGACATAGGTCAAGATGCAATTAAGTTAACGGTGAGCTGCCGGCAACGGCGATGATAACGGTAACCTGAAGCGCCACCGATTGTTACCGGGATGATAACCACGGCTAAAATATAGAAACATTAACTTAAAACACAGAAAACCAAGACTGTGCAAGTCCACGCTTCAGCTAAGAAGCCATCGCAAGACTTTGCCTGATATGCATTGGCTTTTACACACACGCCAGTGGTTTTTTTTCTTTTTTTACGGCTCATTTAAGCGGCTTCAGTGCAAGCCTTCTGGCTCGAGGCCTTGGGACCATCTGTTCAAAGCAGCGTTGTAGCTAGTGGCTGCCTTCCTGAAGTTTGTCCATGTATACCTGGGATGACAACCAGCCATGCAGAGTGGTGAGAGATCCCAATGGAATTACCCGCCAAACAAGTATATTCCCCAGCATCGTCAAATGTTACATTCTGTAAATAGAGGACCTCTATCTCCTTGTCTGTGGTATTGACTCCGGCCGTCTAAAAAAAATAAACAATGGAAAGAAAAAACGGAAAAGCACAAGAGAAAGGTGAACAGGGAAGGAGAGAGACACAAAACAAAAAACTCCATTGAAATTCCAACAGCGTATGGGGTTTCTAACGCAGCCCCATCACCCTGCAGAAGTTTTTTGAGGGTGCATTGTGGGAAGGGAGGGAAGGGCGGGTGGGAGACAGGGGAATGGCAATTGGGGTAAACGGGGAGAGAGAGGGTAAATGCAACCAACATCTACAGCACCAACAACAAACCATCTCCTTTGCACCAGGACGCACACACCTTAACCCCTACACCACCAGGGCAGACCCTCTCGAAGGGCCATGCCAGGCACCTCGGCATGGAGAAATTGGCCCACAGTGCAACTCATTCATCGCAGCCTTGCCTTGGCCTGCACCCTGTGGCTGCCAAGGCACAGGGCGAGTGGATAAGGACAGCAGAAGCAAGAACAGCAGGAGGGGGGTCACAACCGAAGTCATGTGATGCAAGGAGTTCTATAAAGCAGTGGTATTAGAGAAAGGCAGGTAAAGACTGATAGTTTTGTCACGTAAAGTGGATTAATAAAGTATTGTTTAAAAAAAGAAGAGTTATGCAATAACAGAACGTGTTTATATTAAAACCAACTAAGAGGTAAAATAGTAAAAAGAGAGATACTAAACAAGCTCCATTCTTACTTAATGTTGCATTAAAAATTATATAGCATGTCAAACATATGATTCAAATATCAGAAATGAGAAAGTGAGAGTGGTTGAATTTTCTAGGAACAGAGGTGAATGGCAGGAGGCAGGAGAGCTGTAATGAGCCATACTGTGGGGATTTTTCCATGGCCTTTGATCCGTGCACTGAAAATAACGTCGCTTCGGGAAGAGTCGACCTTATTTTGCAAGCGGGGGAATCCAACCGAACCCACCGCCCATCGGGGCCCTGCGCCCGGCCACCCTGCACAGGGAGGGTCGGAGCAGACGAAGAGGAGGCGGACGGGCGCACCGGGAGCGGGGGGGCAGCGATGGTGGGGGGGGGATAGGGGAGCCCCTCATGCACCCAGCAACACGCAGGGCGGCCGTGGCGGTCATGCGGGCGGGCGGGCGGGCGGTCGGGCTGTAGCGTTACCTTCTCGTATTGCGAGCCAGGCCGACTGATTAGCCTCGCCTATATAATTGGACACTTTACACACATACTCTCCGGCGTCCGCCTCGCTCACATTGTGGAGCGTCAGCACCTCCAGGCTGGGGCTATTTATCCCCGATCGCTACAACACACAGACCGACCAACAACAACACCGACACACAGGAGACCGTGAGCCACGGTGGAGACGAAGCGTACGGGGCGGGCGGGGGGGCGGGTAGCCAGCCATCGGGAAAGATGGGCCGCGACCCGCACCGTGTCTCCATCGCCATTCATTCCGACGGACGGGGCGGTAAAAATCTAACATTTTGTCGTTGGCTTGTTTTAAGTTTTTTGTTTTCTTTTCAGGAAGCAGTCGGGGGGCGGGGGGGGGGGGTGTCCACGAGTGATTCCGTGCGCTTTTTAGGATTAATCCGAGCATCAGTCAAGTCGGCTTCGGGTTTAAGCCTCCTCACTCTCTTGTCTCGAGAGAGCCAGCGGGGCCCCCCGCCAGAGGCCGGCACTGTCACCGCATCGGGGCCAACGAGGGGATGGCGATGCGTTTCACGCCGACGGCAATTTAAGTTATGTGTGTGTGTGTGTGTAGCCGGCTCGGGATGCTTAAAAAAAAAAGGCACAGAGGGGGGTTTAATGGCGAATGTCACACATTGCACAGATGTCGCAGACTTAGATTTATCATTTTTCCAGAGACCATAACACACACACGCACTCTTGAACATACAAGAAAATTAATATATTATCCACAAACACAAACACTGCCTACCCCATAGCCTTGACAGACTGTTGGGGCAAGTGCTCTTAGCGAGCACCTTTGAAGGCCAGCACGGCACATGAGAGGGTGGGTGGCCAGCACCACGAATCGTTGCCTCCCTAGTGGCGATGTTTATACAACGACCTCGGGGAGGCCCGGGACCAGTTCAGATAATCATCACCGGTGTTGGTAGCCATGAGCAGGAATCGAACTCGGCTCTCCTTGGTTCACAGTGCAGCGCGCTAACCGCTGCACAACTGCTCTCCATAAAAACACAACACACACGTGTAACTTGAGGACATCCAATAATAAACACGTACGGCACGCATTCGTCTATTAATAAACAGCCGTATACACATTCCATTTGAACGTTTAAAAAAAAAAATCCCAATTGGCCATTGGGGAACGCGCTTTCAACTCGCTTGACCGGGCCGCCCCATCGTCTCGACACAACGAGCGCCGTACCTTCAGGATCTGCACGTAGGGCGAGCCGTCGGGACCATAGCGGCTGCCGTTCACCTCCACGTGCTTGAGCCACTGGATGTGCGGCTGCGCGTCGCTGTACACCTTGCAGTGGAACTCCACATTGCTGCCCACGACCGCCGTCTGGTTGGCCGGCAGGCCGGCCTGCAGGATGGGCCGGTGGGGCGAGCGCTCTGCATGGCGGGGATGGAAAAGGGGCCCCGAGGTTGTGCGAGTCAGGATAAATGAGTTCTCTAGGGGACGAGGTTCAAAGGGTTGAAAGATGAAGGAGGCGAGGGACCGACCCGAAGCATTGAGAACAAGCGCCATGAGAAAATGTCGGACTATCATCATCGTCATCAAAGCCATGGCTCATGCACTGCTGGATGAAGGTCTCCCCAAGCTGCTGCCGTCTCTCACGATCCCGATATGTAATAATCCACCGGGCAACTGCACACGAGCTGATTTCATCGTTCCATCGCCTCAGTTGAATGTTATTAATGGAACAAGCAAAAAAAAAGTTGCATTGGTAAAATGTTGTTCTTGGTATATCGTTGCGAGTGTTGTAGCGTTTCTGGACAGCTTCGTTTGAAATAAAACAAAACAGAACCCCACCAGCCAAGGTCCATATCAGGTCGACTCGGCCTCAAATGAGCACCTGGTGTGGTTTGTAAAAATCGCCACTCGGGAGACAAAGTACGGCCGGGCGTGGTGCTGGCCACCCACCTCCCCCGTCGTGTGCCGTGCCGGCCTTCATCGGTGCCACTCGCTCAAAGAACTTGCCCGAAAAGTCTCTTGAGGCTACACGGGGGACCTTAGTTGTAGACGTGAACACGTGTGTGTGTGCGTACATGAGCGCGCGTGCTGGCACATGGGGGGGGGGGGAGGGGGCAGGAAGTCGCGTACTGGCACGCAGCGAGGGCCGCGTACCGGCGTAATGAGGGGCCCCTCGGAAAGCGGCGGGGCGGGACGGGATACGGGCAATCATCATGCCCGCCGCGGCGGCGGCGGCGTCGTCGCGACGCCCGCCACGTGGGAGGCCCCTGCCGCGGCGCTCGCGGCCGCCGTGGCCGCTCGAGCTGCGCGTTCTCGCTGTTTGCGATTTTTTTTTGCCCCCCTCTCAAAGCTAAAGTTCGCCCGTAAATTTGGGCATAAACGGCCAATTCCCCTTAACCGCAAAACCACACCGGTAAATGTGCACGTTTTTAGAACGCTTTTGTAACAACAACAACAAAAGAAGCACTCCTGAACAAAATATAGCCATCCCGAACAGATCCTAAAACGTTCTATTATCATCACCATCGGCCATGATCAATCCACTGCTGGATGAAAGCCGCCCTGAGCCGTAGCGATCTCTCAAAAATCTGCATCCCTGGCAACGGCAGATAAGTAACTGCAATGACCTAAAAATGGGCCGTGAAGATGATTGATCAAATGGATCATCACAGGAGGGTCCTGCCAGGTTTTCATAGGCGGCGGGAGGCGTGATGCTGCTGCCCTGTGTAATCCAAACTGCATAATTTATTTCGGGAATATTTAGGCATCGGGATGTTTGGCCACTACCAGTGAAATTGTACGTTTGTTTTACTTGTGGTAGGTAACAGAACACCTAAAAAAAGAAAACCGATGCAAAAATATCAGGAGAACGTAGAACCTCCGCACAAAAAGCTGCCCGAGTCAGGAATCAAACCCGGGCCCCTCTTGCTGCGAGGCACGAATGTTATAACCACCACGCCCACCTTGCCTGTGTTATGGCGAGGAGGCAGGCCCTGGGTAAAGTGCTGTGTATCCATGGACGCCCAGCGTGTACAAGCTCGGGCGATATAAACACAAGTAACACGATGCAGATTCCGTTCCGCTCACGGCTGATGGGATGGTCCTTCTTGAGATTCCACATTTTGTTACGAATCTATTTTACAGCGGACACGTAGCGCGTGTCCGTGCAAAAATCCGACCTGGTGCAGGCGCGAGTGTTTTAATTCCGGTTAAATCGGTGACCGTCGTAAGTGGTATGCATATAAACAAGTGCAGACCTAACATCATTAATTGTGATTAAATCACAAGTAGAAAAGAGTCACGTTATAAACTGGCTAACTAATTTCAAGCTTGAACAATGTTTTTGTACTGGTCTATGCTCAGTTCGGACAATAAGACGAAACTCCCCATACAGCCTTAAGAGGCTGGAGGGGCAAGCGTTGTTAGCGAGCACCAATCAAGGCCGTAAAGGAACATGGAGGGATGGGTTGCCAGCACCATGCTTGGCCGCCTTTGTCTCCCCAGTGGCGATGTCTACACACCACACCAGGTACTGGTGTTGGCCATGAGCAAGAATCGAACTCGGGTAGCCGCTTCGTAGCGCAGCGCGCTAACCGTGACACTACCGCTCCCCATACGGCACAAACGTTCCTTATAACTGTACTGAAACAGCCTTGGAAGTAATGTTTCCATGGAGCTTGAGCAAAGGCGGTGCTCAGCACTTGGCATTATATCATTTTGATTGCAAAGTGTCTGCCTACAAAGCAAGCCGATATCTATTTGCACAAACAGCACCTCCGCCTGCAGTTAGAGAGGGAAGGCACATTCAAACAAAAAAGCCGCGTGTGTGCGTGCGTGTATCAAGTGACCGAGGCTGCAGCTCATTTGCACGAGCCAGTGTTGAGATGTACACTTCACAAAGCTCTGTGATCCAACTGCAGCTTGGTACATAGCACATGCACTCAAGATAGATAAACTATCATCACGCCAACGCCGGTCATCCTCGCAGCAGCGGCTTCTGGCTGGCCGTCGAGCAAAGACGGTCACCGCATCGCGCGCTTTCAGATGCGCTTCTGCGGGCGTCTGGAACGCTCTTCCTTCCGATATTAGGAAGCCACTGGAGCTGTGCACTTTTAAATCGAGATTGAAAAATAATTTATTGAGAACTGCTTTTTGGGTTGAGTTTGTTGTCGTTCCCCCCGCACCTCCGATTAGCACGGTTGGCTACGTACCATGCTAAAGAAGTTCAACATACATGTTTGTATGTATGTAGAACTTATTTAGCACCGTACGTAGATATCGTTTAATCTTCCCAAAAAGAGGGGAACAAACACACGTGCACGAGGAGCAAATGTGCGACGGAGGTTATTATATATTTTTAAGTTGATTCTTTATTCACTGTTGAAATATTTAACGTTCAGCAGACCTACGTTACGTTAACGGACCAAGGGCCAGATTCGTATCGTGACCACACGGATGAAACGTGAGACCTCGGTGTGATTTGCCCTCTTCGTCGCTCGCAATGAAGGGTGGGCAGCAGATTTTCACCGAAATTCAGACACGTCACCGACTCCTGCATTGCACCTAGTCTCGTACAATTTGGCCGAAACTTTATGGGTGTTTTTCACATTTACATATGGTGTAAACCAAAAAAGACTGCAAAATTATAAATTACTTAAATAATGAGGGCCGGACGGGGAAGGAAAGATGGCTCATCGTGTTGAAGACAGACGGGAGGACGGGATATCTGTCGATGGGTGACATCGATCCCCGCCGTACAAACACCCGGCCACCATGTGGGCCGCACTTGAGCACGTCAACCATCAGCGGCGTTAATCCGCTCGCATCCCTTCTCCGTCACTTTGGTGCCAGGACCACGGCGCTGCCGTCGCCGCAGTGTCCAATGTCGCCGCAATTATCGCGAGAGCGGGCAACAAAACACCCACGTGTGTCTGAGAGCCTTGTGTTTTTCACAAAAACACAAATCGTACACACACCTGTAATCTCACGCATATTACGACCTTTGTTTTGCACACCGATGACAGCTTCTCAATCTCCGCCCCCCGCCCCCCCCCCCGCCCCCCCCCCCCGCACACTCCAAATGTGTGCAAAGAGCCGCTGGCGATATCTGAAAGCTTCGGCAACGCAGCCGCGCGCCGTACTCGCAGCAGCGCCGTGCACCATTCGCTTTCGGAAAGGACACGTGCAGCAATGACCCGATGGCTAAATGCAGCTTCGTTAGAATCGTCACGAGGAATTGTGGGTAGAGGGTGCTTCGTGGTCCTGTGGAAATATGCCAAACGTAAATAATAATAATAATACGATCTCCCGTGGATGATGACTTCGATGTATTATCGGCGAAAAAGGGAACGGAAGGTGATCCAATGGCTGAGCACTGAGCCAGCGCTGCTGAGATCAAACTCCTTACGCGTTGTTATGGAGCATTACGGGTAAGATAGTTTTATACAGGAGCCAAGTTGCGTGCGTCTCTCCGCATATAAATACAAAAATATGTCGAGTCCATCGGCCTCTTTGTCCATCCAGACCAATGTCACCGAGCAGTGATTGTGTAAGAAAGCAAACTCTGGACCAGTTTTGACCTTCTGTTGAGATACTGGGTTAGAATCCAGGCTGCGGTCAACCATGGGTAGGTAACCCAGGTCCTCCAGCGTAGGGGAGGAGCTGTTATAATCCTGGCATTAAATTCGTTTTTTTTTCTCACTTATTTTTTGCAAAATTCCACTGAGAAATAAAAATGTCAGTTTGACTGTCGTGTCAAGCAGGGCCAACATGGGAAACACACCTCCTGTCTGGGACAATGATAACCTTGTAGCAATCGCTGATGGACCTCTTTAAAATTACTCAGGCCATCCCCGAACGCATGGTCGTCTCGCACCGCTCCGTCAGATTGCCGCGCGCATCCTTCGTATTGCGACGAACGTTTGTGAAAAAAAGACGAGGTAACGGCACGAGCGTTTCGCGAGCGGGTCGCCAGTGTTTCGCGAGCGTTTCACGAGCGGGTCGCGGGCGGGCGCTCACCGACGACGTCGAGCTGGTAGGAGTGGTTGACGGTGCCGTGGCGGTTGCGCACCACGCACGTGTAGTTGCCGTGGTCCGAGGGCACCACGCTCTCCATGATCAGGCTCCAGTGCTGGTGCCTCAGCTGCAGCCACACGCACAGCGCGACAGCAGCACGATTCAAACAGCCATCGTCGTCGTCATCGTCGTCATGATCTACACTGCCCCAGCCAGGGGGGGGGGGGGTGGGGGGGGGTGGGGGGGGGTACGTGGGGGTGTGTGGTGGTGGGGGGTTAGGCAGTGGTTGGATGGAAGATACAATAGTGTATATGCCTGCCTATCCTTCAAAAAAACGTGTCCAAACACGTGGTTTGACAGATTATGTCGTCTTCTTTTGGAAAGTCACAACAGAGGTATCCGAATGTTATTTTAAAGCCTGGACGATTAAAGTATATTCTACGAGGATTAACGATTTAAATGAATTGCCCACAAGTGATGTCATTCTTTATTATTGCTTGTTGTTATGGTTTAGTTCCAAATAAATATGTTCGTGACCCTTTTTGAAACCAGTTTGGCAAAAAGTCCAGTGTGTGTATATCTCACCATTTTCACCTCTTCGTAACATAACACACAACGTAAAAAAAAAATGATTCGCAAACTCCAGAGTTTACACCTCGGGTCGGGAGGCAGATGTTCACAACAAGACAAGCATAGTTCATTCAACACTAATCCCATGCAACAACAAGAGGCACCTCCACCGCTGCAAGCAACCAGGGGCCTCTCGATGGCCACGAACGTTGATGAAATCACACAGTGGGGCCATTGTCTGCAGCTCATTGATAATGCGACTCCTTAAGTCTCCACCTGCGTTGGCGTCTGAGCCAGGTTCCCAAAGGTGTAATTACGGGCCAGCCGGCTACGCACCGTTCACGTTCACCGCGGTCTACGCCTCACCACGCCTCCCCGTTACCTTCACTGAGGAATCACCGTCACTCGCATCCCTTTGCAATCACAAGTTTTTCTTAATTTCTACTTTCCATCGCCAGCGCCTCTTTACACGCATTGCTGCCCCCACCCCCCACCCGCCCGTGCCCCTCTTCCTAAACCAAACACGCCTCCCTCGGCTAAACCGCAACACCGCAAGCCGCTCGTGCACCCCAAGGAAGGACGCGGCAGGCCGGCCGTGTGGAGAAGCCTCCATCCTGGCACGCACGAACAGAAACCCTCTCACACGGTCACCTGTACGGGCGGACCGGGCGATCTGTAAATATTTCCGAAAAATGTCATTTAAAGGTTACGTGGAAGTACTTTTAAGACTCCAAGACTGCGTGTGCGTGGCTATATAAAAACGCAGCTGGCCACTCAAGCTTCTTTGCGTGATCCGTGCGTTGGCAGCGGTGCACGAACGCAAACATAAAAAAAAATAACTCATTTGTCAATAACACTGGCCGAGAGGAAGGGGGGTAAAAAAACCTAGAAATGTACTACGTTTGGGGTCATGGATCTTCTTCTTCGTAGATGGCCGGAACGTCCCCGGTGACGGAATGGTTCCGTTTCAGTGCCGCGTTACGGACGGACACGTTTGGGTTGCAGGCATAGCCTCGACCCACCGTGGGTCACCACCGGTCCCAGGGCTGCTCTGCAGCACCCTTCACGGTGCAGACAGCCACCGGCTGATACTGCGCGGAGGCATCACCAGCACCCTGGGCGGTCAATGGCGATCCACTGCCGCGATAGTCAACAAACTATACTCTATTTAAAGCTTTCGTGACTGCAATGATTCATCTTCTTTGGTTCTTTCGGTAAAGTCACGTAGAATGAGAATAAAATAATAAATTGATAAAATAAAATAACACAATAATATTCTCACGACGTTTCGGCCACAACACAAGCGGCCTTCATCAGGTGAAGGGGGGCGAGACTGTCTGGTAGGACAGCGCTGGAGTGAGAGAGCCACGTTCAGATCACGGCTTTTAAGCTGTGTGAGAGGAACAAAGAGCCTTGACACAGGAATTAGCATAAAATTTAGCATTGAAATGGCTGAATGATTAGCTTGTGACTGGTCACAGAAATAGCTATGTTAAAAGTTAAAGCATACACATCCGCAGAGGCACCCATTGTTAAAAGGAATTAGCATAGAATTTAGCATTGAAATAGCTAAGTTAAGGCATACACATCCGCAGAGGCACCCCTTGACAATGGGATTAGCATAGAATTTAGCATTGAAATGGCTGAGTGATTCGCTTGTAACTGCTACAGAAATAGCTACGTTGAAGTCAGAGCATACACATTCACCGAGGCACTTAGTACAAATCAAACAGGAGAATTTAGCATTGAAATAACTAGGCGAATTTAGCATTGAAATAACTGGGTGATTTGCTAGTGACTGGTCACAGAAATGACTACACATCTGAGCTATTCACAGTACTATATAGTGAACCAATAAAAACTAAAATATAAATTACCTTCATGTTATCAATAAACTCTATATTCTCCAATCAGCTAAGCCACCAACCATAAGTCGTTATATATCACAATGCTATATGGCGAAAAAATGGGTGGATTCTTACCCTCAAATTTCCGTACCACGGATAGCTATGGGCCCCGTTCAGACGGACGAGTTCGTCCATGGTCGGAACAGAGGAGGGGGAGAGAGACAGCTGCGAGGCCCTAGTATGCTCCATGTTGTAAACCATACCATTAACCGTGGTGTGAGAGGTATTAAGAGGCAATGCTGGCGAAAGAGCTGCGGTCTGAAGGACATCGTAAAATTACAATTAATTAAGAACAGAAATGATTTAACACATCTTTCCAGTGGTTACTAAGCCTGAATCCATCTTCTCGGTTGAAATTGTCTCTGTGCTTGTATATGTGAATGGCCTCATGAACGAATCTCTCATGGTAGCCGGTTGGTTTGCAAAGAACCTCCGTCTTGGAGAAGTCAATGTCATGTGAGCCCACTGAATTGTAACAGTGGTCTGCCACGGCAGAGGAGTTCGTCTTACCGTGTTTCAAGTCTGCTTTATGTTCGCGGATGCGGTCCGAGATATGTCTTTTGGTTTCTCCAATGTAGCTACTACCACAGAGGCACTTTAGTTTGTAAACGCCTGGGTACTGTATGTCTGGAAGAGCATCTTTTACAGATGGAACTAAATCACGGATTTTGTGTACTGTGTTGAATCGGACCTGGATCTTGTGTTTATTCAGGATTTTGGAGATCTTTTTAGTGACCCCTGCAATGTAGGGTAAGGTGATGGTTTTGAGTGGCTCCACAAGAGGATCCTTCTTCATGACTGGAGTGATGGCTTTGCGGATTGTGTAGTCGGAGTAGCCATTAGCCCTGAGAGCCTGGTGTACGTGCTTGAGTTCACTGGTAATGTGTTCCTGGTCGGAAATGCATTGGGCTCTATGGTATAGAGTCTTGATGAGGCAGTTCTTCTGGGATGGATGGTGGTGGGAATCCGGTTTCAAGTAAGCATCTGTATGGGTAGCTTTCCTGTAGACAGAGTGGCTCATTGAACCATCATGTCTCCTTTTAATTAAGACATCCAGAAAGGGTAGTTTGCCATCTTTTTCGACCTCCATGGTAAATCTGATGGCTGGGTGTATGGAATTGATGTGGTCGCGGAATTGGTCTAGAGCAGGCTGGCCATGTGGCCAGATGACAAAGGTGTCATCAACGTACCTCTTCCATAAGGTCGGGCGTAGAGTGGCAGTCTGGATGGCGTCAGTTTCAAATTTTTCCATGAATACGTTGGCTACAACCGGAGATAGGGGGGAGCCCATTGGGGTGCCCTCAGTTTGTTTGTAGAAAGTTCCATTCCAGGTGAAGTATGTGTTGGTTAAGCAATGTCTCACCAGGGGGGGTACATCAGTATGCAGTCCTTGATGAACCAGGTCTTCAATGATAGCGATGGTGTCAGGTACCGGGACTTTGGTGAACAAGGACACCACATCAAAACTGACAAGCAGGTCGTTTGGGGACAGGGAAATGTCTTTGATTGTCGATACCAGGTGAGTAGAATTTAGTACCGCAGAGGTGGTTTTTCCAGTGAAAGGTCGCAGTATATCAGCCAGAAAACGTGCCAGTTTGTAGGTGGGGGAGCTGATAGTAGAGACGATGGGACGAAGGGGTGTATCTTCTTTGTGTATCTTTGGAAGGCCATATAATCTTGGTGGTCTGGCAGCAGAGGGTTTCAACGAGAACTGTTTGATCTCATCAATTAATGCTGTTGAATCAGAGATAATTTTGTTCGTTTTGGTGACCAGGCTGTTGGTGGGATCTCTTTTTATTTTTGTATAGCTGCCATCGTTGAGTAGTTCTTGAATTTTGTTGTTATATTCTGTTTTGTCCATGATGACAGTGGCATTGCCTTTGTCAGCTGAGAGAACGACAATATCATCCCTCTTTTTTAATTGAGATAATTCAAAACGTTCGTCTTTGCTGATGTTGCTGGGTGGCAACTTAGCGTTTTTGAGGGTTGCAGCGATTTCAGATCTTGCTACGTCTGCAGAGATGTGACTCAAGCCCTTGAGTGCAACGTCAACATGGGCAATGATATCATTAACCGGTAAGTGTCTCGGTGTGACAGCAAAGTTAAGACCTTTAGCTAAAACGGATTTCAGACCATCAGAAATGGAACTGTTACTGCGATTAATTACGACTTTGTTGACGTCTATCTTTTCGGTGTGTGGATCCGATTTTTTGCTGGAGAGGTGATTGAATTTGGAAATCAAATTGTCCCTACATTTGTTCGATCAGTTAGACAAGACACTCTACAAATCACACTTAAAATTGACAGCAACAATGTCTACATCGGATTGGGAACATGTAGACAATATGACTACCTCTTCGGCTGCCACTATGTCGAACAAATGTAGGGACAATTTGATTTCCAAATTCAATCACCTCTCCAGCAAAAAATCGGATCCACACACCGAAAAGATAGACGTCAACAAAGTCGTAATTAATCGCAGTAACAGTTCCATTTCTGATGGTCTGAAATCCGTTTTAGCTAAAGGTCTTAACTTTGCTGTCACACCGAGACACTTACCGGTTAATGATATCATTGCCCATGTTGACGTTGCACTCAAGGGCTTGAGTCACATCTCTGCAGACGTAGCAAGATCTGAAATCGCTGCAAC